GGGTGGCGGAGTCTGCTTCTACTACCGTCAAGATCTCCCAGTTCGATCCCGCCCAGATCTGCATTCTGAATCTACAGAAACAGTCTGGGTAGAAATAAACGGAAAACCAGGTCGACACCTGGTTGGTTGCGTGTACTGGCCACCGGGGGAGCCAGTGTCTTACTGGGCAGATTTGGAAGCAGATATTGTACGAGCAGCTGTGCAGTCTTCTTCCGTGACCCTAGTTGGAGACTTTAATGTAAATATGGACCCAGCCCATCCGGTACCTCAGCACAAACACCTCACCGACCTCTGGCCTCCACAACATCGTCATACAGCCGACCCGTGAAACTCCACAGTGCCCTGAAGGCACGATGATCGATCTCATATTGACCAACCCGGCGCTAGTGTCCCTAGCAACGGTTGTGCCCACTGATATTAGTGACCACAGCGCTGTGGAAGCCTTTATTCAGCTTGCCGTTGACGTTCCACCCGCGTCATCCACGACGTCGCGGCTGACCAGGAATATACGTGGCGTTGACATTAACTCTTTTCGGCAAGATATCCTTGAGGCTTCTCTACATGATTTTTCGGATCACAATGATGTAAATCACATGTGGAAAGAGTGGCACACTAAGTTCCTGTACGTTTTGGACAAGCATGCCCCGCTGCACAACTCTAAGCCTTCCCGGAGGGCGATACCTCCCTGGTCTGACAGAGAGCTGCACCAGCTCGAACAGCGTAAACGGCGGCTGCACAGCCGTTGGCGGAAGGATAGGACAAACGGCACACTGTATGCAGAGTTTAAACAAGCACGTAGCACTGCTCGGAACGCGTATCGGCGCAAGCGAAACGAGTACTTCTCCCGTCAGTGCGAAGAAAATGTGGCCAACCCTAGGAAGTCTTGGGCCATTCTAAATGCAGTCACTGGGCGTTCACGTCGTCGCCAAGATCCTAGTTGTAGCATCAGCGAGGTGGCCGACACGTTCCACTCCATTGTCACCGATCCCAACCGTCCTGAACAACTCTGTACCCCGCACGGTCCCGCTGGACCCGTCTCCTTGACCGAACTTGATCCTGTGACTCCTGCTGACGTCCGACGTCTCCTTGAGAAGTTGGATGCGCGGAAAGCCACAGGTAGTGACGGCATACCGGGCTCTCTGCTACAGCAGTGTGCTGACTTGCTTTCATATTCTCTTGCTGTGCTCTTCTGCACCTCGCTGAGGACTGGAACCATTCCATCCGCATTTAAATTGGCGTCTGTCGTGCCACTGTACAAGGCCGGTGACCCATCAGTCCCCACCAACTATAGACCTGTATCCCTTCTCCCAATAGTGTCCAAGTTGCTGGAGAGGGTAGTGCAACACCAGTTAGTTCGTCATTTGGACTTGACCCAGGCATTACCCGAAACACAATTTGCCTTCCGCAAGAAATGTTCCACGGAAGACGCCCTCTGTGTGCTGACTGACGGCGAGAGACAGTGGCAAGACCACAGAGCTGTGCCTATTAGACATGTCGAAGGCTTTTGATAAAGTGCACCACGACAAGTTAATTCAAGACCTCCTTGCGGTTGGAATTTCTGGAAAAGCCCTTAGTTGGTTCGTCGACTACTTGTCCGGCCGCAAGCAGCAGATCCTCATCTCGCCTTCAACCAGCCCTGCTCTGGCTTGCACCTGCGGAGTGCCCCAAGGCTCTGTTCTCGGCCCTGTCCTCTTCAGCATATACACACGCGATGTCCCTTTGGCTTCCTCGCCTATGCCAAGTGTACAATTTGCAGATGACATAGCCCTGTACGACTCCCAGGCCTCAGCGGCGGAAGCGTCCAGAACCCTCACCACAGCGGCAACTGCTCTGGCCGGTTGGCTGAAGTCCCGAGGCCTTATCTTGAACGCCACCAAGAGCCAGGTTCTGACTATCTCTCCCCAGCAGCATGTACAGGAAGTAACAGTCAAAAGCGGCGACTGTCTCCTCCCCTCAGCGTCTTCTGCGCGCTACCTCGGCGTTCACCTTGACAATCGCCTAGATTGGGACACCCATGTAAACTATGTGGTCACCAAGGTTGCCAAGAAAATTGGCGCCTTGTGGTGGGCACGCCGAAGCCTATCAAGACGCTCTCGTCAGGTGTATGTGGAGGCGGTCATAATGCCCGACCTGCTTTATGGCTCCTGCTGTGTTTCAGCCGCAATGCGAGAGGGTCAACTGAAACGACTGCAAACCACGCAAAACAGAGCCATCCGCTGTATCGATGGCAACCCGCCCCGGACAGCCATGCAGCCGCTGCTCACTGCTCACTCCCTGTACCGTGTCAGCGAGCTCTACAGGCAGAAAATATTGATCACCATCTGGCGGTGCATCCACGCCCGCACCAGCCCTGTGCTTGCCCAGCTTCTGACCCCGGCACAAGGCACCCCTACCCGCCATCAGCAGTCAAATGGCCTACTAAGCCAGGCAAACCGTAGCCGCCGCGGTCAGCGGAGATTTTCTGTTGCTGGTGCTCTGCTGTGGAACGCTCTCCCTGGTGAGGTCCGCACAATTACCCGGCTACCTGAGTTTAAGCATGCATGTGTACCATACGCCTGTAGGGAGTAGTTCGAGTTGCTGCTGATTGCTCTGCTCTCCCTCCCCGTGCAGTTCAGTAACCCGCACGTAGTATCACAGATACATCGTATTCTCTCTCTCCCCCCGTTTACCCGCAGTTATTAGTATCCTATTCTCTTACTTTGTGCTTCTATAGCTTTTACTATGTTCTTCCATAGCCACTTCTAGGCTAAGCCTTCGCCGTCATTTTATTGGGTCGTCATCCCGTTTGAATGTGCGAAGTGAAATAAAAACCAACCAACCAACCAACCAATGTTGAAACGTGGACCTGGGAGGACTTAGCCGAGGAAATCAAGGATCACAGTTCGTTGCTGCGCTTCTTGGCGAGAAGGAACGTAATTCAGAACAAATTGCAATGCATCAGTTGTACACGCTCTGCCAGTCTCTATGGGTCTAACAGGACAAGCGACAAGTATATGTGGCGTTGCGCCGGCTGCAACAAGACATGGAGCATTCGGACTGGATCAAATAATTCGGTTACTAGTAGGGCTGAAACAATTATACCGAATACTCGAGTACTCGCTCGGTTTTTTCAAAAATAATCGTACTCGGAATAGATCAGAGTACTCGTTCATACATGGTACATGCTTTTACCACAGATATCTGCAGTTTCAGAGCAGCAGTCGGCAGATATTGATGTGCAGACTGTGTGGTGAACACTTGTTCACGAGTAGAGAGAGCCCAAATGACCCACCAACCAATATACCCGAGAAAAATGACTGCTACTCGCTTCGATCAGGGTTGCATCATGTGATTTTAAGGCCCTTGGTGTGCAATTTTTAGGTGATGAAGAATACTCGAATATTCGATCGGAGAAAATCAGAGTACTCGAACTCGGGATCTCAGTGCCAACTTTCACCCCTAGTTACTAGTAAACGAGGAAGTCTTTTTGAAAATATTTCACTCTTCTATCGCCTGTTTGAACCACCATCCGCCGACAAACTGGACGACCTTTCCCGATTGGTCCCCAAAATGGTTAGTAAACTTGCATTAAACACAATTCTCCACGGCAATATGTGGCTGGAAAAGAATTTAAAGCTTGGTGGCACACTTCCAGTGCTTATTGATCTCTACACGCCTGAAGGGACCAGTACTACATTTTTCGTAGCCGTGGAGGAGTCAACTAACTTGGCAGTTGTAGAGAGAGCACGTTCAGTAGACGATGTGCGTAGGCAATAGGAAAAATGGTGTGCACCTGGCTCCACTATCGTATTGAAACATTCCTCTATCGATGGTTCATCACTGGAGAGAAGTAGATATGACTATGTGAATGTTGATGGGCAGTCTCAACCATCGGAAGTGCTTAAGAAAGGGTACAAGGATGCCATTGCCAGTTTTGTGGATGATGTAGAAAAGACCAAAATTAGACTCACATCAATCGGATCAAAAATGCTCAATATGGGAACTGCCCAAGCAGCTTTGGTTGTTCCGCTGGAAAGGTATTATTATTATATTTCGCAAACTACCCAGCCAAGAATACGTATGCACGCTTCCTCTCCTGTGTCAACACGGACAGTGGCGACCAGATGAAGGCGAGGTTGATGAGGATTAGAATGCAATCAATAACTACTGATGAGACATATGTGATCTGGTTTCACCTGGTTTGTAAAGATATTCACGTTTTGGGGACTTGTGAACAACTATTTGTGGAAGCACAAGCTATTTGTATATTTTTGAAACATTGTACTGAAATGTATTGTCTGATTTCTGATCTTGTACAAGGTATTATAATTTGTATTGATGATTTCAGAGTTCTTTGGCCATGATGCATTTTGCTTTTGTTGTTTGTCTGGATGTAGTTTTTTAAAACTACATCCAGAAGTGCTTCCAATCTTTGTTCTCGCGTGTTAGAATTTTATAGAATGTTTTTGGTTTGTTTTGGTTTTTTCTACTTCTCCTGCCATCTGTAGATCGCATAGAGGAACTATATTTTGAAACCTTCTCCAATAATGTGTCGATCTTCCAAAATTTGTGTTGTTTTCAACATGATAAATTACCATCTTGTCACCAGTGTTGTTATCTTGATCTTTACGCTATTTTAGTTTTTAAAAGTCTTTGCAAATTGAGCCACTCCCTGTACTGTCCTTGATTAGGAGGGAATGAAAAAGTTCTATAGTTATTACGAGAAGTGCCTTGTTGACTAGATGTGTAAAATTGCGTGAATGCTTGCAAACCTACTGTTAGGTTCACGATTTCAAATATGCACGCACTCGCACACTCGTACTCACCTTGACACACTGGTACTCACCTTGACACACTCGCACTCACCTTTTCACCCTTGTACTCACCTTTACACTCTCGTACTCACCTCTGTTCCCTTTTCTAACCGTTTCTTCCATTGGCCTGGGTAGCTTCGCAGGTGTGGGCACAGGTTATGCGGCCGAGTCCGTCAACTAAACCACATTAATTTTCCGTTTGCTCACCAGCCAAGTTCATAACATTTTTTTTCATTTTTAAACACGAATTCCAATTTCTTTTGGAAACCAAGATTGAAATCGAGATACATGTACTAATTGCAACCCTAAGGGAATAATCCTATACGTAAAGAAAATACAGTATGGATTGGTGTGACATTTGAGAGTGGATTATTAGCCAATCAGTAGCGTAGACAAAATGCAGTCACGGAAATACTGCAAGCAAGAGCTAATGACATAAATTTGTACGGATGCTGATATCGCCACTAGACCTAGAGCCATTACAGCAAGTATCAGCTGCACTACCCAGCAACCTGCCTAATGTAGATCAGTTACCTTATAGCTTAGCCAACAGATATTCTCCTACATTCAACGGAAACAAAACAAAAGCCGGCAGATTAAGATAGGAAGGTCCGTGTTGGCTGCTGACCACAGATTCTCTGTCCATCGCCAGAGGCAAGAGCGTAGCAAAGAGCATAGCGTAGCAATGAAGTGTATGTGTGTATATTGCCTCACTCATACACGTAGCAAAGAGTCCGGCCTAGCAATGAAGTGTATGTGTGTGCACTGCCTCACTCATTCCCTCCGCCTCGGCCCACTGGTGTCTCTCAGCGTCTTCGCTAGCGTGTGGTCCAAGTGTCACCTTGCCAACTTCATAACTCCTGTGCTTGAAAATCGACACGCGAGCCTGGAGCAGAAAAGAAAAGAATTAATTACAGAAAGTTAAAGTGCCGCCGGATCACAAAAAATGACCATTGTGATCGGAAAAATATGGTAGTTACCCCTCCCCCCCCCCCCCATCCCACGCTTTTTTTTATATACCGTATTTCCGCAAATAGTAGGCCGGTCTACTATTATTTCAAACTCGTCCTAACCCGGCCTTATATTATAGCTGCCCTCAGGAAATTTACAGCTTACTATGCTTATGCAATCAACGGAATTCCGCCACCTTGCAGTTGATTTTCCCCATTTCTCTCCTCATCAATCCCTACTTGTCTTTGTACATACATCTACATCTACTGTTCTTTCAATCAAATGAACCCCTCGATAGGCACATTGCCTTTGGGTCATTTCATAATAATAATAATAATAATAATAACCCGGCCTTATAATTGAGGACGGTCTTGTATTCGAGGATGGTCTTTTATTCTTTCAACCCAGTTTGACCCCGGTCTTCTATTTTTTTCTATTTTTCGCCACACAGTTTGAGCACGGTCTTCTATTTTTTCCCACATAACAGTTGTAAGACTCATTTAGGCCCGGTCTTCTAATCGGAGACAGTCTTGTATTTTTTCAATCGCCCCCCCCCCCCCCTGCCCCGGCCTTGTATTCGAGGAAGGCGTTGTATACGAGGACGGTCTTTTATTTGCGGAAATACGGTATTTTTCTTTTCTCTTAATATCAGTGGGACGATTGTCATTAGGTTTAGGCCTGTTTTGGAACTCCACTCGAAATAAAGCCAAAAAACAACAACAACAACAACAACAACAACAACAACAACAACAACAACAACAACAACAACAACAACAACAACAACAACAACAACCCCTCACTATGTTGCTACGGAGTAAGTGAGGGGTGCCGCGTAATTATAAATGTCATATGAACTGCCCCCACCCCCACCCCCCATGGCTGGGTATCATCCCCCTCTCTGGGGTTGCTCCTCACATTAATGTTGCAATGTCTATTTCATGAGAATGATTGACTTGAATGAATAATAAACAATAATGAGAGGATGAAAAAGTGTTTCAACTCCGAGTTTCACGCAACGATAAAAACTTTCAAGAAAGGTTGCATGGTGAGCGAGAAAAAGTACTAGTGCGCTCACACGAAACGTTTTACGTATCTGACTACAAGGCACACAAGTAACAGAGAGTAGTAAAATACCTACATCTACTTCACTACTATCTATGTAAAAAGGAAAAGGATATATGGATACGAGTTAAAAGTAACTCTCCACCACTGTAACCATATACACTGTACTACATTCCCGTATGTCACATGACTGTCGCCTTGGAGTCGACCAATGACAGATCAAATTACGCGGGCTAGAAAGCGCGATCCTGCCTGCTGAATAGTGATGGTACTAGTTCCACTGCCCGTCGTCAAGTGACGACGGGCAGTGGACGGAATCCACTGCCCGTCATCACTTGACGGTGGGCAGTGGACAGAATCCACTGCCCGTCGTCACATGACGACGGGCAGTGGACAGCATCCACTCATGAGTCTACCATTTCAATGACAAGCTTTCGTGGTCTGAAAGTACATGCAAAAGTCATGTACTGTAGTCGGTGTTCGGTTGTCGAAGTCACTTTCACTCAGCTCACAGCCTCATACAGGACTCGAGTATCAGAATGGTTCATGTAAACTCAAAGATTGTGAGTGATCTCCGTGGCTTGGGTGCATACGGGAAACACGCTCCAGTCACTCATACTCAGTCAGTACCGCTGCTCATGGATTCCGCGGTACTGCCCTCATACTCGTGCAGGAACCTGTGCATACAGTCAGAAAGTGCAATAACTAGGCACAAAACTGACAGAGCACTGAGACATTCGACGTCCTGACACCTAGCTTCAACACATCTCCGTAGCGCTAACCAACAGCCTTCCAACTCGGAAGGTTCAAGGTTATGGAGAGACAAAAGAGGGGAAGGTAAGCGCAACGAAACTGAGATCAAGCTGCAGTCCCAACGGAACAAAGAATGTCGATTGTTACTGGACGATGACGAGACCAGTAAGATACTTGACGAAGCGGTCTAACTACAATTCGAAGCAGCAAAGCAGCATACTACACAACTTGGGTGGCTTATAAATATCAAAGATAAGTATAGATAAGTACCTTCCCCTCTTTGGTCTCTCCCTAACCTTGAACTTTCCGAGTTGTCTTTCATACTTGACAAACCCAGCCAAAGCAAATCCCTTAGTCACACACCCAGTTTCCCTTTTAATGTTCTCTCATTTCCCTTATTTTTCTGGTTTTCGCTAACTTCGGCCATTTTCTCTTTTTTGGTGGCAATTTTTGATTATTTTTGCGTTGCTTCCGCAATGTTTTCGTTCTTTTTATTCATTTCTAACCCATTGCTCATGGGGGACCAAAAGCTGAGCTTCCTTATTGTCAGATCACCCCTACATGCCGCGATATTGTGAAAATCAGGGCCGCATGCGTCCTTGTCACACCACAAAACAACCCAATTATGAACACTCATGGTTCAGTGCCAATACCGGTAGTTTTCCGATCAAAGTCAAAAAGCCCTGGTATCCTGGTATTATACCGGTTTTCCCGGTATAATACCGGGAAAACCGGTATGGTTGGGAAGTAGGGTCTTTGATGGTACGGTAAGGTATGGGACAGGTACGGGATAGCACCAGGCATGCAGATGGCACAAACAAACAAATAAAAAAACACCGAAATAAAGCTGTGTAGACCCTGGCTGGGGCCAGACGTTACTGAAATAATGTCTTTTGCACAGCTACGGGAATAAAAAAGAAATAGTCCCCCCCCCCCTACCTTGACAGTGCAGGCGATGTAGAGACGGTCCCGCTGTAAGCCGTCCAAATCAAACGTCGTCTCGTGGTTGAAGTCAGCATGGTTCACATTATCGCAGTGAACTAGCGCACTATTGCTGCGACGCACCTCGGTCTTGGCGGACATCAAACGCACCCTGGCTTGAGCACCTGGGCAAGAGCAGTCACCAGTAATAAAAATCTATTCCCCATATCAAGATGGTGTCATGTGTGCGTGGGGGTTTAGCTCAGTGGTAGAGCGCTCGCTTTGCATGCGAGAGGCCATGGGTTCGAACCCCATATCCTCCAAGATTTTGATCTTTTTTTCTCCAAATTTTCCATTTTGTACATCCCCTTGCACAGATAGCGTTGTTCCTAAGAAAAAAGCAATGCAGCAGTTTCGGCCCCGCTGTGCTGTGTCTACGTCTACGGGGGGGGGGGGGGGGGGAGGACTGGGAACGTAGCATGAATGAACGCAGTTTTGGTGTAAAGAAGAAAGAGTGGTTTGCAAACTTATACGAATATTCGTACGGAGAAAATATTCGTTCGATCGCGCTTCTAGACGAATATCAATCGAATATTCGAGTATTCGTTGCAAGCCTGAAACTTACTGAAAGACTTGTTATTCTTTGGTCGCGGCAATTCCTGCGCTCGGAGCACTCGACAGCGGAGTTTTGAGCCGTTCGCCGAGAAATGCAGCCCGACCACAAGCTGGCCTCGCGGTGTGTCCGGATTCGCCTGAAAAACGACGGCAACAGCAGCAACAGCGGCAGCAGCAGCAGCAACACCACAATCACCGGTACCATTATCACCAGCACAACCACCAACACAGGCATGATGCCACGTAATGCACACACACACAAACATGGACGTGCATTTGTCATGGGAACTACCACCGCATCTTAAACCATTTGACTGGTTCCAACGGGATAGCTCCACTAGGAACCAACTCTGCCTTCCTCTAGCCCGCTCTTCTGCCTTGCTACACTCCCCCCTTTTCAATGGCTATTTGCATTGGCTTAAGCTGCACAAGGAGACAAAGGGCAATTCTACTTTAACAGCATTCAGGAACGCCTTGCTTTACCAGTAGACAACAATTTCAGTCCATATTTGCTTCTTTCTTCTTTTCCTTTTCTTTTTGACTTCTTACTCTTTTCCATGTTAGCCATGGTTGGCTATAAATACCCTGCAATCGCCACGCAAAGTGGTCATTGGCTACCCCAGCCATGTATTACTTGGAATAAATTAAATAAATAAACTGGTATAAATAACTATGGCAACAGATGAATGTCACCATGGTAACACGTGAACATAACCAAGGGTACATGAAACCCAGAGTGTGCAGCTCTGATAGAGTTGCTGTCATTCTGTTGTATTAGCAAGAGACCCCCCCCCCTCCCTTGTCGGCATGCATACACACACAGCACCGCCAACACACATGCACAGAACCAGAAATATACATGTACATGCAGAAAATTCAAGTCGTGAAAATCAAGTTTGCACCTTGCACCATTTCGCAGCACAGTGTTCGCAGGCAGGTCTGGGGCTGCGCAACACCCGGCATGTACCGTATTTTCCGGAGTATAGTGCGCACTTTAGATGTGCTATTTTAGGCCCTAAATCGCAGGTGCGCACTATGCTCCGAATATGAAATGCATATACTTCAATGAAGATTGGAGTGCGCACCCCCAATGAAGATTGGGGGGTGCGCGTTATACAAAGGTGCGCACAATACTCCGAAAAATACGGTACTTGACTGACACGACTGGATTTCAAGGAGCAGTTCAGAAGTATCATCAGCAACTCACCAAGAATGTCGTGTTCTGATCCAAGCTCAAGCTGAGCATTCTCCACTTCACTCCCAACTTGAGGTCAGACAGTGCCAGGCAAATCTTGCCAACCCGTCTGCCGGATCTCTGCTGTGCTGCATTGTCCAGGACCGTCAGACTCATCCTCCCGTTTGCAATCTCACCTCTGTCTACGCCTGTAGTGGTACACAGGCAAGAAACAGAGGCAGGCCATGCATTTCAAACACTGGTTCACTGCAATGCAGTAATCTCTGCTCGTTTTATTTCTATTAACACACCTGGTTGAAAGTGTAGTCACCTGAAGCAGTTCCGCTGGCTTTTGAAAGCAGAATTTGTGCCGAGGTCACGCCAAGCGCGATTCAGCGAAAAAAGCGCTCTTTCACGTCATCTTTCCTACAGAAACAGCTGAATTTTCGGTTGCAGCCGTTCTCAGCAGTCAGCGGTTTTCAGCGCGAATGGAGCGCTGAATGGATTCAGCCACTTTCAGCCATTCTGGCGGATTTCGGGGAAAGGAAACTCGTACAAATCCAAAGCGCATCTTGCCATCGATGCATCGTCTTCTGAAATATTCCGGCTTGCGGTTGTTTGTTTCGTTGTTGGTCCAACTTTTCTCATTGCCTGCTGTCTGTTATTGTCTCGTCTTTCCTCGTGCGCTTTCTACGAGGCACGATTTGGTTCGACAATCAAACAAGGGAGACTATTGTGCGATAGAAGCATGCGCACCATGATATCGGTGCAGAGCAAGATGCTGACAGCAGCACGGAAATGTGTTCAGAAGTCTAATGGACCATAGTAGATGTTATTTCAACACAGTGGTTTCACATCGTCGTCGTCAAATACTGTAGAACGGGTAATTTTAGCGACGTAAAAAACCTAGCAAATTTAGTGATCTACTCATTTTCGCTAAAGTTTCAAGTCGCTATTCCGTTGGGACATTAGTAGTGCACTGGTGATCCGTGAGTAAAATCGCTGCAAATCGCTAAAATGAAACGTCGCTAACCGGTTGACAATGGGAAAACGCTAAAATCAATAGTCGCTAAAATTACCCATTCTACAGTAAATAAATGTGTGCAGAAAGCGACCATGCCATACGGGCCATGGAATACAACATGGCCGACACCACGTGACCCATAGATGCAGGGGCTGAGTGGAGTTGGAAGTTGGAACCAACATGGCTGTCCTGTATTGGTCGTGTGATACGTGTGAAACAATTGTTTTGCCGAAGTTGATAAAACAATTATTTTACGTACTTTCCAAACAAACACAAACCTTCCACTCTCACCATCAAACTCCAGTAGTTGGTTGAACAATGGATTGCGATTGTCCTGCTCAAGATTCCCCTTGGCCAGCCAGACTTTCCTCTCCAGCCTACGATTGGTCGGTTGAGGAAATCGCGATTGTGAAGCGGCTGCTGAGGCAGCCGAAGCAGTGGCCAGATCTGCAGGGCTAGGTGGAAGTGTTTCACGGCTACTGTGTCGCCGGACGCTATTGTATGCCACCTTGGTCTTCTTCATAACCTGAGCATTGGAGAAGATGGATAGAGAATTTTGCCATGTTGGTTTCTTATGGTTTGTTCAATTTCTGTCAGTAAGTTTGCACTAAGAGCAGGACATAAGCAAATGCGTCTGATGCAGAAAACACATCTGAATAGACACACACACACACACACACAAACACACACACACGCACGCGATCGTGCGCACACACACACACACACACACACACGAGCGCACACACATGCACACAAAGACACACACACACTCGCACGGGAGAGACAAGAGGGGAAATTCCCTGTAATAGAGGTTTCAACATTCTCGTCAACATGACTCAGCCGTGAAACTGACTATGCAGCAGATAGCAGGATGCAAGGCTCCATACAGCAGATAGCAGGATGCAAGGCTCCATACAGCAGATAGCAGGATGCAAGGCTCCATACAGCAGATAGCAGGATGCAAGGCTCCATAGACATATTGTACAGTCGAACTTTGAGTGTAACAACACTTGGCGAGGCATGAGAAAAGTGTACTTATTTGGAAAATGTCCTTATACAGCACCCGAAGTCTCATTATATGTATTACTGTGTTGTGGGACTTTGCTCTGGGCATGGAAAGTCTGTCGTTATTCGCGAAGTGTCGTTATACCCAAAGTCTCATTATATGTATTACTGTGGGATGGGACTTTGCTCTGGGCATGGAAAGTCTGTCGTTATTCGCCAATTGTCGTTATATCCGCAGTCGTTATTAGCGAAGTTGACTGTACATGCAAATGATAAGAAAAAGAGAACAATGAAAGAGAGCGTTGTTTTACCTTGACTTGTACACAGGCTGAGCGCGTGCACTCGGGCAAGCACCTCGCACTGTGTACGAGCACCTCTAGTCTGCCATCGTCGGACATGTAGCGCAGTCGGATGTTGAGGATGCCTTGCCCACTGCCTCCACCGCCACTACCGCTACCAGCCAGCATGTGTTCATCGGGCTCCGGGAATGACGGCTGCTCGTGAATCGGGCTGCCGCCGTCCGTGCCTTCATCACTCTCGGGGAGCAGGAGATCACCTGTGGACGTGTACGTAGCGTCGTCGAATGGTTCTTCGTCGTCGCTGGTGAGAAAACTCGTCAGCGAGCCTGCACTGTCCCGGCAGTTATAGAGTAGCGCTGGCGGTTTGCGTGGCGTACCAGTGCGTGATGGCCGGTGAGTTGACGATGCACGATGTCCTTGTGTTGGTGGGTCCACTGGTCTGTGACAGGTTCCGATACGTCGCGGTGTCGCCGACACGGATTGCCGCCCGACGCACGTCAGCAGCTTGCTCGGAGCGGCAGCAGCTCCACTGCCGGGTCGCAGAGGACGCCGCGGAGGAGCTAACCTGCTGCCGTAACGTTGCCGCTTAGGAATGCCTGTGTGTGTCGCTGGGCTTGCCGACTGTGGAGTAAAGCCAGTGCTGGCTCGGCCATTCAGCATTGACCTATCCGGCTTTTGATGCACACTAAGCCGCTCACTTTGATCAATGACAACCGTGCGAGACACTCGCCTTCCTGGACTCCCGTCAGTGAACCCAGCGTCGGAGATATTCGTCGGATAGTCGGGCGCGCACGGTTGGCTCTCTTGGCGCGGTGAGTCACCATTGATGAACTGACTTGAGCTGGAGAACGAGGGTTCAGGGTACGTAGTCTGTGCACCTCCGCTCAACAAAATTGAGGGTCGCGATGGGAAGCGATATGGAGAGAGGCGCGGACGGAACGTGGACTTTGATTGTTGGGGTGGCTCACGGCTTGTAGTCGTAGTGTCTGTACGGTGATGAGCAAGCTGTTCAAATCCATCGCGGTAGGGGCCCTGGGGACCGTTTGGAGCCTGGCCGGGTTTTTCACCATCGTACTCAGTGGGTTTCTCTCGCTTCCTGCCGCAATGCTTGACCAACTTCCAGATGATCAGCAGGAGAATGAAGGCGAGGACTCCGGCACTCGCCGAAACAGCGCTCACTTTTGTCGTGCTCCAAGACATGACAAAATTAATTGTACCTTCGCGAACGCACACCCATTCCTTGCTGACCGGTGGGACGCTGCATTGCACTAGGCAAGCACTTTCGGGCCTTGGAGAGCCTCTCTTTGCCGCGCGACTCTCTATCTCAGCTCGCTGCTGGTTGAATGACAACTTCTAATGGCAAAGCAAAAACGATGCCATTCATTTCCATGGGAAACGAAGCAGTATTCGATGTTCTTCTCCAGTCATACATGTATCTGCTCCTCTTGACTCCACTGGAAACTCGTAGCGAGCCCATGACTCGTTCGACGATCCTTCCCCTCTCCATTCGACTGCCATCCGGATACCAACGGTTTTCAGCCGAGCGCTTCTCTCTGGGTCGGAGTATGGACGAGTCCACCGTGTTTCCCGTCTCTTTCCGCTTTCTCCACACCTGTGCACCGTGTCCCTGTCATACTCATGCATGTCCACACATCGTGCTACATGTTCAACGACTTGAACAGGTCAAGTGGTGTTTTGTGTTGCTTTGCTCTGCTCTGCGCCACAAACTAGTGCCGTGTGTACGTGTGTGCTGTCGAATAAATGACATCATTTTGCTCCAGACTGGTGCTCTTTTTCCTGCTTCCAACCACGAGCCACGTGCGTGTATTTTACCAGCTGCTGAATGAAATCCGACCACGTGAAACAACAGAATAGTTTTTTGTGCCGTGCCTGAATAGTACAGCAGTGTACTGGCCCGGATTTCATTCACAAAATGGACCCGATCCCACACTTGCCTTGCTCTTATCCTTCCTATGCCTGTACATGACATTGTATTGTATTGCAAATCAGATCAGCCCGTAGATCTACTGTGAGCAAGTCAGGAAGTAATTAGTTACTTCCTGGGAGACACACTATACCCTGATGACTGGTGATTTTTGCTTTTTTTTTAGAAGTCCCCATTATTTTGAGTTGAGCTTTTTTTGGAATCGTGGTTGATGGATCAGAAGTGCACTGCAGAGCCGGTCACACATGGAAAACGGAGTCGGAAGTCTCTTGTCGGTAGGCTCCGGCGGATTACATGTATGCTCGCGAAATTATGGAATTACTTGGTATGCTTTCATGGATTCTCGCATTATGCTCGCAGAATCCTCATAAGGCCAAACTAAAGAAGGTGTGTGGTTCGACTAACATGGACATTTTTTTTACGGGCGGGCGGGCGGATTTTTTTTTTTTAATATATTTTTTAGTACATGTAAATACACTGTATACGCGTATCGAGTAGACTCTACTACCAGCACAAAGGCAGCAGTCGTACCACTCACTGCACTGCACTGCAGTACAACTACAAGTCAAGTCCAATAGGAGCCGCCTGCGTCCGCAGACTCACGCCGCACAGCACGTAGACGTGGACGTGTTCAGTCCACGTACGTCAGTCACACGACAGCCCGCCGAAAAAAAGTTACGGTCGGGCTGAAATTGTACGGTCGGTCGGGTGAGTCGAACCACACACCTTCTTTAGTTTGGCCTAATAATATTATTATGCTTTGGCACCCGGGATACATATCCACTTTGTTGTACTCATGGAGCCTCAAAGTTCGGAAAATTGTGCTTTTTTCGTACTTGCAAGTGGCCATAACTGCATAAGCACAACCAAATGTTACATGAGTATCCCCATACCAAGGTGTCCATGCATGCTAGAGATCAACATGGAAAAGAGAAAATATTACTCTTCTTTTATTCATTACTATGTTTACTTCTTTTCAAAAGACTTTTCATTGCCAAACTAGTTTGAGTTGCCTGTGAAAAATATCATGTTCAACTGTCCTCGTGACTGATCGTCATACCCGTCCAACCGATGTCACCCTCACCCTGCGAATAACTCATCTCTCCCGTAGCTCCACCTCTACTTCCATCATGACCGAACTACATCAACTATACCTCTTCAAGTTTTTCTCAATTATAGAGCAATATCCATACTAGTAATTATTATTAATTTTATTACTAGTCTGCAGTGCGCAGTCTAGTCATGGCTGCTAAAATCCAGACGTCATGACGTCATGATTACGTGACATGCACAATGTAGATCTACATGTACGTGTACGCGGAGTTTTGCGGACTACCCGCCACTATCTCGTCCGCCCCATGGCCCAGGCAGGGGCCAGGATACCTGATAAAGGCTGATTCACTCGCATCTTCGGCTACATGTACATGATTGTGCTGGTATTATAATACATGTAACCCAATGCTAGTTCAAAACTAGTATTAGATACTGTATCAACGTGTGCAAGAACTTTGAAGAAGACCAGTTCGAGCATACAATAATGTATTGCCATGATTTCTACCCTGCTTTTCATTGAAAACACTATCTGCAAGACCTCCGAGCCCTTTGCCATGCAGACCACCAGCACTGATTAGGTGCAGTGTACACAATTGTGTAGCCTACATACTAGAGCTGTGGTATAATCATGTAGCTATGCTCCTACCTCCGAAAGGATGCCAAATTATGCTCCAAATTTTCAACCACCAAATTATGCCAATAATTATGCCGGCATAATCCGCCGATGCCGATGACCTCCCTAGCGCAACACTCTGAGTCCCAAAAGGAAAAACTCAGTTCTGCTCTCAGGTCTCATTGTAGTGTGTGATAATGGTATGATGGCAGAATGGGATTTTATTTCATTTTATTTTTATTTTTATTCTTATTTTACTAGGGAATTCCCAACAGGCGTCATCGACTTCTTACAGGGAACCCTAAGTACGTCTTGATGGATTGAAATTCAGCAGGTGAATTAGAAAGGCGGTTAGCAAGTGGCAGTGCATTCCACCGGTCAGCGCCTACGTAAGAAATTGCACTGAAACCATAGGGATGGTGTTGTAAATACATGCATGTCTGACAATGGGGACAGAGCAAATGTCCTGAACTTTAATAGAGTCCCGCACATGCACTACAGCATGAGCAAGCATCCCCTGCTTAGTATGAACCATGGATCATTCCTAACATCGTATGCTGGAAAATGACAGCACTTCGTGAGCTTCCTTTGTAGCAGGGAGTAGTAAATACTGTATTTTACTACTCCCTGCTTTGCACCGTGAAGCGTTCGACTTTGAAAGTCATCGGAACCAAAAAATACTGATATTAGTGACATCAATTTCTTTATCTACAAGTACATGAAGATGCAACACGACTTGAGCTTGATGACATACATGTAGAGACTTGCATTTATGGAACGTTTAGAATACGAAAGCAAAGAAAATCCGAAAGACATTAAACTAATCGGATACACAATGGCTAATAAAGGAGATTTGTGTGACGAATGCAGTTTGATCAGTGGCCTTTCCGACATCATATTCGCGTAGGGAGTTTGGCAGAGCTGTTGTTCAAAACTAAAAGAACGGTATCAACGGTGGACATGCATTATTATGACCACATTATCATCGGAGGCAGAAGTTCACTTGTGTGCATTGCGGGCCAAGTTCGTGTCGAAAGAGGACATGCACATGTGCAGTCAGTGGACTGTTTGAATTGTTCAGTGACGAGGGCATGCGCTCCAGGTCTGCGGCAAAACATCGGGTGGATGCCGACTCTTCAACAAGCACGAACTTGAAGAGAATGGCGCAAAGACTGGACTGCGTCTGTTACCACAACTCTGACAAAGTTGAATTCGACGATCCAGATAAGATCCAACAATACCTTGGGAGTACATGCCGTCAGACGTCGATACATGGCCAAATAAGGTAAATATTACGGGTAGTATTATAAGATTAGCATGCGCTATATAGTATAAGGTCACAGAGAGAGAAGTATAGTGGACTGGCATGGTCCAGGCATGGTATGAGGTATAGAACAGACTTAGAGAGTTGTCTCTGGTAGAACCGCGAGACCAACGGTGGCAGAGACACAATCGCTGGGCTCACTGACATATGCACTCATTTGAACGAAAATGACGTCAACGATCACTCCAATGACGTCAGCAATCACTCTAATGACGTCAAGAGTCACTGAAAAGACGGCAACAATCACTCCAATGCCTCATCGTCGGCATGGTTACGAGGCTTGCTTGGACTGCGCGTCGTGCGCCTCCCAGACTTCTGGTGGACACGAGTCGCAGCACTGGCGGCTCTCATCCAGTTGGCACAGGGACATCCTTTTGAGCGTCCTGCAGTATCGCGGTTCCTCCCGACACTGCGACGGCCCTTGCGCTCCGGCCGAGTCCGGGCAGGGGAGCTGAGAACACGCTATGCTGTCCTTGGGCTTCAAGCATAGCGGGCAGCTGCGGGCCGGCTGGTTGTTGAACGCGTTGACGCAGTACACCTGACGCATGCGATACCCGCCGCCACACGTCTTAGAGCACTGTAGCACGGCAGACAGGAAGACATTCCGAAAGGATAACACGCCAGCACATGCACACGCACATACACATGATTTTAGAAGAATCTTCAATATGCGGCAAAGAGACCAAACTGATGATTGGGCATGTTTACAGGTACATAATTTAGAAGCGTGCTCGATTTTAGTGTCATCCACGGTAAGATGTTAAGCACATCAAATAATGGCTGGATTAAAAATTTATCACAGGTACATGTTATGGTGAAATCCGAGTTAAACAGGTACATGTATATTATGGAACTTGGAACACCACATTGGATTTGTATTGCACTGATTGTGCAGACTATGACGTGTAGTGATGCGAAAACTGCCGAACAGTCTCAATGAATGCGCCAGTGGCTTCTGCGCCAAGAGTCCCAACAATTATTTTCTCCCATTAAAAAATCTCTTTCCCACAGACTGACAAGCCGACAAAAAGGGAGACAGATTCATCAAGAGATCAACAGACAGCATGCCTTCATATCAACAATTCCTCACCTCTCCCCACTTGTCCACACGCCAGGCGTAGATGCCGGAGTTGATACAGCGCTGCAGTTCAACGGGTCGGTTGAAGTGCTGGCAGAGTGTCTCTTCAACGTATGCGTTGTCCTTGTCGGAGAAGCAGCGTACCTTGCGATGCTGCTGGCAAGTCACCAGACACTGTGGGACGAAAGTAGCCAGATCAAGCAAACAAGAAATAAGAAAGTCTCGCTTTACGAAGAAATTGAATTTGCCCCACATTTAGTTTTCCGCATGCAAAGTACGAGTAATCAGGAAACTATGTACAGCATAGTGGTAGTGGTGTGTGTAGTGCATGTGTGTGTGTGTGTGTGTGTGTGTGTGTGTGTGTGTGTGTGTGTGCGTGTGCGTGCATGCATGCGTGTGAGTATACATGTATACAAGAGAGAGTCATGTATATGCATATGTGCATATGCGCTTGTGTGTTCAAGTGTGTGGATGAACGCTTATGCGTGCATCACGTGTGTGGGGGGGGGGGGGAGGGGGTGAAAGGCTTGACGCCTAAAAATACTCTATAATCTCCAGACTTACCGGCGACCAGTCTTGCGATTTCCAGTAGAAGTTGTCAGGGCACGGGTGTTCATTGATGCACTTCCTCACTGTTGGCTCTCTCTTCTTGTAATGGTGACGACAGCGGTGCAGTGATAGCTTGCGTTCGCGTCCATTGCGTACCACCTGACATGCGACCTTACGGCGCTGGGTACCTGAAAGTAGAATTGGGCAGATGCGGAAGAGAGTTGGACGGCCAAGTCAGTGCAAATGCTGATTCAGGCAGATTTCTGCTGGAGCATAAGCAACTGGTTTTAGACAGATGTTAGTAGCAATGCTAGTGCATTGAAGAGAATTTCAAGGGCGTGATGAATTGTTCAGTGACTATTTTATCTATATGTATAAGAGTTCTGATATCAGATTCTGTTCTCTGAATTCGTACGCTCCAACACCACCATTTACACTGAAATACTAAGTCCAGACGCCCGCTCGCATGCACACACACACACTATAGTTGTAAAAGTTCTCCCTGCCCTGTCCCTCCCCTCCGCGCCCTGTCCCTCACCTCCGCGCCCTGTCCCTCCCCTCCGCGCCCCAGCCCTGTCCCTCACCTCCGCGCCCTGTCCCTCCCCTCCGCACCCTGTCCCTCCCCTCCGCACCCCTGCCCTCCCCCTCCCCACACCTGGCGCATCAAGAAGGTACTGACCTGTTCCGCATGTTTTAGAGCACGGCTGCCATGGGGAGATGACGTACTCGGGCGGGCACGCCTGCGGGTTGCAGATCTCCAGGTTGGAGAAGGCGCCGGAGTCGTGCGCATCGCACTGCGTCTGCGTCAGCGTCACCTCCGTGCCGTTGGCCATCACTTGCTTGCACGTGGTCACCGGGAGGAGAATGCCACTGCCACACGACCTGGAGCAGGGGCCTGGCCGTGACGTCACGGTCACCGGGCAGTCCAAAAATCCGCATGCCTGCACAATGGGACAAATTATACAATTAAACGGGCAATGGTCTGCTTAAACTGGCACGCATTCCGATGGTTGGACAGACAAAATACTCGAATGCATAGTTGTTCCTTCCCAAACTGGATGCATTTTTTTAATGTACCGGTATGCTCTTCGCAACCTTATCACCTAGGATTATATTCATATCCTCGGGTAAAGCTCAAAAGTTGCAAATGGAAAAATGAAAATGTAGCATTGGGGGAAATAAGGATTGTTTTATGCGCTGCTTGCAAAGCGTTCAGTATTGGAACGATGTCATAATATGATCAAACAGAAGAATGACGTCATGCAGCAAATGCAGAGGTGAACGCCATCAGTCCCATCACGGACTCTACGTTGGTGTTAAGCGTACCTGCGATGTGGCCGGCTTCATCACGCGGCGGCTTTGGCAGAACCGTGCCTCCACCAGCTCTCCAGTGAGCATTTCAATACATTCGACCTGGCGCTGCTGAAAGCCCTTTCCACCGCACGACCCACTGCAAGTACTCCATTGTCTTGGTCTCCAACGATACGTTCTAGAAATACATGTGAAGACAAGCAGGCAAATACACACACACATATATGCATGCACACACGTACACACATGCATGCACGCAGAAACACGCCCATACATACACACACGTACATACGCACAAAATGAATTCCATGAAAATTGACTCGAGGCGTTAAACTTCCACGACATGCGGTTGGTGTTGTATACATGTAGATGATGGTTGTGTTCATCATTATGGGTTAGGCTTGGATTTTTATTTGGTTATGAGCGGTATTCGAAACTGAAGGTGAATCCATGCAGTGACCTTGTGAACACACATCGAAAGCTGGGCTAAAAACCACAAAAGATGCCTCCTCGGCATGTACTGTTATGTCCCTTGTCTCAATGCAACATCTCCTCAGAAACGGATGGTAGGGACACTCTTGACAATTCGCGGAACTCCAAGGTTTGAAAGTAGTGTATCCTCGGAGTCCAAGGACCCCAGGAGGACTTTAAACTGCACACGGATGGTTGACCATCAACAGCTACAGGTGGTTGTCAAGTCTGCTCAAGGATATAAAGGTGATGTAAACGGGCTCAACTTTCATAGCTCCGCCCTGGTGAACCACCAAAGTATGACGACCTATTTGGATCACTTAAAAATGCGCACCTGTTTGACGGTTCCAAGATGTTCTCTGACAGCTAAATCTTCATGCGCTCTACCTGTTCTTTGAGATCCGAGAGGAAGGCGGGACCAGCAAGGGCTACGTGGCATGACCCTGACAGCGACAAAATGTCCTTTGTTGCCTGGGAGTGTTCCAGGTACAGCCCACCCGCTGAGGAGTATGACACTGATTGAACGTAGTCGTTGTGCTCTTGCTGGCAGATGCTCTCATGGAGTTGCCTGGGAAACAGTACATATTCGTGGGCTGATACCCAGTGGTGAGACGTTCTTCAAAATACCAATTGGTGTACTGTTCTACGTGAACAGGGTGGTTAGCCACAGCTACGTGACCATGCAGACTGACAAACCATTTCCTGAACGCGTGGATGCACGGTAGTTCTGGAAGGTCACTCAGTGATACCAAAAGTACATGAAGGGTTTCATTGGTGATACCCATTGCTGCAGTACACACACACACACACACACACACACATAATCATTGGCGCTGTACACGCACGGACGCTGTCATCGTTTCTAAATACTGCGTTTGTTGTACACTGTCATCATTCCAGGCTCGTTAGGGTAAACTACGTACTCCAAAGTGCCACGGAACATCTTGCCGCGCTATTCCACGCTGCCAATGCTGGAGGCGCTCTGTCTCAATGTGGTGCTAGTTGAGTAGATGAACACCTGCGCTACACTGTGATGCTGTACTGCTTCACAACATAATCCCTGCAAGACTTCGTGCAGCCATCACGCAAGCCCGATATCCATCTGCTCTCGCAAGTGCTCCTTTCCAAGGCCAGGTCCGTGCTACTCAAACCAGGGCACAGAGCAGACGTTGCACTGCTGAGTTTGACTGTCCACCATGGTATTTCATGTACTGAACAGCGGTCTGTGCTAGGGAGAGTGGCCTCTCTAGTTGCAAGGCCAATTCCGGATGGTTCAGCGCGTCTCCTGGCTGATCCTAACCACTTTTGACATCGCTCACACCAGTCCAGGTGCATATCATAATACCTTGCCCCGAATGCCATTGCTAACTACATTAATGTTCAAGACCCCTTTGTTTGATTATCATGGGATTCCTGAGCGACATTGAACCAGTGTATTGTACTTCAGTGCAAATCATTATGCAGACACTGACGGTGTTCTGAGTATTGATCAGGCCAAAGAACATCAGCGACAGATTCAGTGGCGTTCCTCTTGCTGTCTCATCTCCACCACTACTACTTCCAAGTACACGCATTGTAACACTGTTGGGGTGCCGTAAATCAATTGTAACTATCAGTGTGATTATGCTGCAATGCGTCGAGTTAACTAATATGCAACAGATGGGCTCGCTCGTTAAAGCATTCCAATACTAGTAGGACATGAAGTGATCGATGGAGGTTGGGCTTCTGTCTAAAGGTTGAAGTGATTTCAAATCATCCAGATGGCAGTATCTATTCTGTACATGATTATTTTGATTTCGGTTATGCTCTGGGGAGTTGCTACCATGCTGCACACGATAATTCTGGGTGCTTTATACGCTTGCCTAGCCTGAACGAAGGCGTTCAATTCTGCGATTCTGTTGATTCTCCAGCGCCGCTGTACAGTGTGAATCAAAGAAGGCCTGTAGCTCTGCTGGCAACATTACTATCCGCATTCAGCGGTTGTTGCAATGCGCATGCACAAGTATGTCCTAGAGCTACGGCAGGGTATGCTGGAAAGCTCCCAGTGCCAGAGAATGCAGAGACGTTGTTCTGATCATAATGACATGCAGAGTGCGCCTATTGGAGAAGCAGGATCTACATGTACAACGTACATCATTACAGTACTTCAAGAGTACAGCGTAGTACCCTGCATATTCCATACAGTAACCATCTCCATACTAGCCTCTTTCCCTGAACACCCCACATCCCCGTTCCACTACTTAATCATGTACTTCGATGTAAATCATTAGCAATAGCAATCACGTTTAGCCCAGTTACGGAATAAAAGTAATAAAAGTGTTAGAAGTGTTACGGTTTACCAGTGCTGAGTGCTTCATTCAGGCGCCACTTGTCGTTAAAAGACGCCTCTTGACACGCAATCATCGGTGGAGATGAGCTACAGAAGTGGGCAATAACTATCCGGCGTGTTGCTCGCCAGTATGAAAGGATCAGTCTGCAGCGACGCCTCCAGTCGTACACTGTACCGGAGTACTTCGAAGTAAAATCATGCAATTGCTGAAAAACGCTTCGCTCTCCGCCACAAATCCCTGGCGCGTGAAGAATTTGAGCGCACCTGGCTTGAATCTCCAGACCTCTGAAACAAGATCCTTGATTTGATCGCGCAGGAGCACACGCATATTAGGTAACACGAGCACGGGCGACATCCATCACACCGTGACGCATCCAGACCAGGACAAAATCACTCTCAGGGATAGCCGACGATGATTTGAAAGGGAATGGATCATTAGAGTTGTCCTTCGAAGCCCTTCATTGTCATACAATTCATGACTAGTCTATTCTCCAGCAAAATCAGGTCTGAACTTGATGCAGAGTTCGCCCGGGTACATGAACATAAACTCAGCGTAAACTAAAGGGTTAGTTCACTCGAATATTGCCTGGCCACTCAAATTCAGACTGGTCTCAGCTCTGGGCACCGCCTCAATGAGGACAAACTGGTCATTTTCGGGCGTGTCTGCTGCCTCAAGCAAAGTACTCAACTACTGACTAAACTATTAGGTTGTTTCAGCAATCAAATCAAATTGCATTAGAATCGATGGTATTGTGTACTGTAATTTCCCGTGCGAAGTGTTATCAGACTGGCTATTGGTGTGAACATCTTGTGCACCACACAGTATCTCTATATCTGTCTCTGCACTGCTGAGTATCGTGACAACAGCTAGTGTAGCGATGGTCAATGCGGCGTTAGTTGTCTCGGCGGGGGACCAGTTGTTCGCCTTCGTGCATGCATGCACCGTGTCCGTTCGTGAAAACGTCCCTCTGTTTCCGAAGTCATACACATGTACATTGTGTATGTAGTAGCACTAGGCGAAACTCACTGGGTTTGCGCGTATGTTGCAGATGCTTAACCCAGGCTATGTTCGTCATATTCGCAATCCTGTGTGCAATATGTTAGGCCATCTGACCGACTCCTGTATGCTGACACATGTTCTTAGATATAATGCAAGCTGGTGTCCATCAACACAGCTCTTTCTCTTCTTCTGGAGCGCTCTTCACACCCGGTCTAAAGTCTCATCAACACTTTACAAACCAACGTACGCTGACCACAAACTTTCCGGCTTGCAAACGGGACTTTTATGGGGAGTTATTCTGAATATCCAGCCGCGTCGCCGATTGCCTGAAAGGTTTCCGAAACGGACGTGGATTGTAAAATTGGTAGCAGGCCGACACAGGTGTTGTGTACTAATGTTGATTTCAAACGAGCCCGACGGACAAAAATATATAGCAGGTTTCAGTGCTGCGTGGTACTTCGAAGTACATTCGGCGCATTATGGCGACATGTGTTCCCAGCATGGGGCGTTCAATATCCGTAGTGCGCCGGATAGCCACAGACCACGGCTAGATAATTTTTAATACGATGGTATGTAAAGAACCAAAACTAGCTCTCCTCGACTCCCTGCGCGAATTGAGTAACGCCCGCTAGATCGTAACTTGATTGTTTTTTGTATGGAAGTGATTTCAATTCTGAAATATTCATTGACTGTGGATATTGTGCCCAGAGGCACTGTGTGCAGAGTTTTATCTCCATCCAGGAATGTCAGTGACGCCATGCTGTGAACATTCTCAGACTTTCTTTAGTAGTACGTCACTTTATCAGCACCAGTGTTGAGCCCCCGGGGCGTTCTGCCCCGTATCCTCAGCTACATCTTGCAAGGAATGCAATTTCGGCGGAGTCCCTGACAAACTACATATACAAGGTCTTAAGTAAATGCATAGCTACAACGCATAATCATGATACATGACACACACTGGTGAAACGTAAGGTGATGGAGTGATGGTGTCCCTGATAGCGCGGTGATACACATCTGGACTAAATGGCGAATGTCAACAGATTACTAACGACCTTACGTTCCGTCCTACCAGCTCAGTGACTCCGGATAGCAGGTACAGATAGGAAACAGTGGGTGACCGCCGCGGGCGCGATAAGCATACAACAAGGCCAAGTATAACTTCATTGGTTCATGGTAACACTCTTAAGCGCCTTTGTGATGAACTAGACTAGCTGCAATTGAGCTTAGCAAATCTCAAGAGGGGCTAATCAAGTATTATCCGTGTCCTCGCATCAGTTGGCTTAGTAATATTTGATAGGTTTGTCAACTGCTAGTAGTTGTGAATTATTACAGAGTAGATCCATTGTGCTGTGTCTAGCGCTTCCAAGTTAAGCTTGTTAGAACCTGGTTGTCCATCTTTCTCATCTAATACAAGCATTACGCTCTTCATTAAATCTTTCCAGCAAACGTGCACCGAGAGTCTAGTATTGTCGTTGCTAGCAGAGGATGTGTGCAGAAAGGGTGCTGTGGCTCTTAAAGCCTGGAGTTTCTGCTCTGTATGACGGTGTAGACCAATGGGGCTGGCATTCTCCTGGATCTGGTGCTGATGGCCTATGACTAGGATGGTGCTTGCCTAGGCGCCGTGTAGCTTTCACCACTCTGAGTGACCTCGTTAGACTCCAGTTTCTGAGAGACATCCACGGTGCGTTGTGGGTGGCCGGGGCAGCCCATCCAATCACCCAAGCCAACGGGCAAAGCACTTCATTCTCTACGCTATCAGACAGTTAGATCGCGCAAACAGCGTTCCCCTTAAACTCAGTGGGCACCCCTGCACAACATGGGACCATCTCGTTCACTTAGATTCGAAGGGTACCAGTAGATAGCCGTAGCTTCAGACTTTGAACTGACGGTTGACTATTACTGCAGTATTCTAATCAGACCCCTACCCTGGCCCGCCTTCCAAAGCCATGACAGACCCGATAGTAAAATCAGAATAAGTTTATTTTAATTTCTACGCCTTTCTCTGTATAGTATCAGCGAAGTTGGTCATTGAGAACAATCAAACGTTGATTGCGAGGCGTGTAGGAACAAAGGAAGGTCACCCAGACTATTACATGCTAATCGTGATCACAATCAGGAACGTGTTTATCTGCATGAACACGGGTTTGGCGTGTTCTGCTGTACTTGCATTTTTCAAGTGAGGATAGCTCCCCAATGGGTGTTTCTCGGCATCGCTTGAGAACACAATACAACGACTCAGACACAACTGATGACAGCGATTTTGCGTGCATCTTGATCAAGTCTAGATTACAGGGAAGTGATACCCAAGGACTGATGAGAAGTAATTAGCGCCTTTACTGACTCGAAGGACTGCTGAATACCCCTTATGTCGGTAATTCCGGAGGCTAATGACACAATGAATCTAGAATTAGCAAACAAACAAGGATCCTGGCGTAAACCCGTAGCTCTGCTATCATTGCATCCGCTTTTTTCTCAGCCCAGAAGTTGTGTACATCAGCAAGCTAGCACCCTGCTGTTCTTGCTCAGAAAAACACGTCAATGTGTTCTCTTACACAACACACAGACTCGCACGGACGTTCACACTTCACAGAGGATCGTTTTGGATGAACCTAACGATTGCAATTTGTCAACTGGATTGCCTGTTCTGAGCACTATAGGATTGTCCTAATTAAAATTGCGACTACATGTACCATGCATTGCTGCTGATTGAGAATGTTGTTAATCATTGCCTGATGATTATTGACAAGGAGGTCTTAGTTGTGTTACCATCATCGTATTGCAGAGTGTGCTGGAATGGGCATTTTTGATTTGTGCTCTAGATGTCGCTCCCTCAGTCATAAGATACTTCATTTACCCGTCAACGCCCATGTCTCCAGGCAGATGATTGTAGAAAGTTTCTTTGCCTACCTCTTTGTGTGTCACTCCGAGTACCCCCTACACACTCTTTGCGCCACTTCGGAAAGACAAAAGGATGCGGGCTGGCCATGGGCGTGATATAAACGTCGTTTAGCTGGAGAGTTTTCTGTCATGATCGCCTCCTGATCGTAGGCTGTCATGTCGACCTTCCTCGAATAATGACCCTCAATCGCGCATGGCATGAAGAAAGAGTTGTTATTCGAGAAGTTGACTACATGTGCAATGTGTGATGCACAATGTAGGCTGAAGAACGCAATGACCAGCATGTCGTTAAGTTAAAAGAAATCTATGGGATGGGCCAGGGGGAGTGTTCCAGACAGGAATTAGTCAATGGAGCAATCATTGCATACCAATAACTGAAATTGTACCAGTCAATCATTTCGGTTAGATTTGTGCTCACAGTTTATTACACCTTAGGTGTCACGCAAGCATGGCTAATTTCACCAGAGCAATTGATGTAGAATTGCCAGATGGTGTTCACACGCTACGATAGCGTCGGATTGGATTGCAGACTACCCCCAGAACGACCCATTGTCAATTCCCTCCGCTGTTCACTGGGCACCTATCTACAGTGTACATGTGATGTTACATGAAATTGCATAATTGCGAGTTTTTTGTCTTGTCGGCCATAACAGTTTGTTTGAGCAGAGCTTTCCATCTTTTCCGCATACACACGGACCGTTACCATGTGCTGTATCACAAAGTGTCTGAGGCTCATGTAACGTCACCAGGTTATTGCTGTGAAGATTCCAGCCTACATCTTCTACTACGTGTACATGTAAGTAAGCTCCAGCCTACATGTTGTACTATGCTATTACCCGTCTAGCGGCGTTCCGAAACTCGTAAGTGACTCTAATTTTTAAAGTGCTGGGTACCCTGCTGTGTGAGGTATGCGCTGCGCCCTGCTCAACTCGCTACACGTCGCAGGGGCTTGCACTTCAGCGGAGATTCTAGCCAGAACAAACAGATTTGCGGAAACGCAGCTGCTTCTGACCGCGAACTAAGGCCAGCGCCAGCGCCAGACAAGACGAAGCCTTGCATGAACAACCCACTAGTAATAACCACTTCTCGCAGCATTATTGCATACAACTGACCTATTTCTACCGGTAGCTTGAGATTCCACAGCTTACACTGAGCGCAATACGGAAGCCACATGTAACCCGACGCTATGTCAGTATGTGTACGTAACACTACGTTTCTTAGTTTCGAGTGTCCTGCGTCCAAAGTGCATGTGATCCAGAGTCATTGCTCAGTACCGACTAGAGTTTCATGCCATACCAATGGAGTAATGGAATGCTGTCAACGTTCCAAACTCACTAGCAGTACCGCAAGAAAGATGGCGCTGTGGAGCGGTCGGAGCTTTGTTCAATGCTTTCCGAGACCACGCTAATTAATTCTTTAGTGCTCTAGTGGTGTGTGTCAAATGTCCTGCGCAGGGACAGCTGGCATGATTTGCAAACTGCACGCAGAGCCAGATATCAGCTTGAAGGAACAGAATTTTTATCAACATTGGGTACGAGCCATGGCTCGTACAATGCTGACCCTGCGGAATGGAGCGGCCATCCCCGTTGTAAACATGCCGAGTTGTGACATTGACAGCCATGTTCTACTGCTCAGCACTGAACACTATGTTACCTTCCTGTTCGCCATGTACTGATAAGATTCAAGCCAACAAAACCCTAGGCGCTGGTGCTTGAGGCAGCGTGCCCCAGCTGAACTCACTCTAGAAAGGCAAAGGAAGTGATCAAGTGCGCTAAAAGGCCTTCTTCGCATCACTTTACAACGAGCAAGGGACTGCGACTGAGTGAATTCTCGCCAAGGCCCACGGGCAAACGTCCAGGCCTGGTTTATAAGTACACATCTGTGCGGCGCACTATTTCAGTAGACCCTGCACTGGGTGTTAGCATTCCATGCAGCGTTCACTCAAGGACTGGGCCATGTTTGCACTGCTATGTCGGGACAACAGCGGGACAGAACCGCCATCTGCACAGGCCCCCTCAACTTGCGGCTTTTCTATGTGACTCAAAATCAGTTACACGCATATGTATGTAGCGAGATAGATGGCCTTAGCCTTGGAGTCTTCATGTTGTCACCATCTATGTAGTCCATTGTAGAACCGCTCAATAGCTAACGAGGCGTAGAAACTTGCCACCATAAAACACTCTTCTGACCGCCACAACGAGTCAGTATAATGTATGTGGAGCTAAAACGCATGGTTTAAATATGCACCACAACCCTAACAGGGACGTGTCGGACACCCTCACACCATGCTGCACCATCAGCAGTACTCCAGCTGGGAGCTGGTGCCTCCAAGGTGTACATAAACAAACGCCCTGGCCAGCATGCGTGTCGCGGGAATTCGAAAACAACACGGCAGACATGTTCACTGTAATCCAGACATTGAGACAAAATTAATAGTGTGGGGCTGAGCTACAGAGTCTTGGACCAGGGGTTTGCCATCGTCAAAATGAAGTTATATCCGCTTCAACAGAGTTAGGGGTTTGATATCATAAAAGATTAACGAGGTTACATGTACCTGTGTATGTCGGCTTCAAGCCCCTGCTAAAGAAGCGTGCTCTTTGCTAGGTGCCTAGAGGCAATCTTGACAGGCTTCCACAGGGCAACTCTCCAAACATTCCTGTGCCATCGTTTTGTGTTTATGCCCTTCTCAACGCTCAATTACTTTTTTCTGCAAGAATTGGCTTGTAGAGGCACTGGCGATGGAGAGCGCATCAATCGGCGACAGCTATTTCGAGTGCAACCGCGACACACTTGGCGAATTATGTGCTCAGTTGTTTCACGTCTCCAACTGCAGTATGCACTGCGTACATGCACAAGTCATGTATGTGCCAGATCATATTCTATACCTTGTACAACAATAATTATAGGATAGTCTCATGCTACACATGTATGTACAACAAAAGCTCACAAGGAAATCAAGGAAAGACAGGATATCGGAAAGAGAAAGAGTAAAACTCGTTTTAAGTCTCTTACCTGGCTATCTGGGCTTGTGCTACGGACACAGCAATCAGGAGGAGCAGAATGGCGCGTAGCATCTTGATGGCTTCTCTGCAGTGCAGTACAGGGGACTACTCCAGTAGAGTGGTGTTGTACGCGGCGTTTGAAGAAGGCCACTTCTCGCTTCTGGCCGTGCTTGAGTCCTAGAAGCGTGGAAGAAACCGAAAAACATCGCCAGCCAAGAAACGTTACATGTTGCACAGGAGAGATTGATGTATAATTACTCGTCCATAAAATTCATACCTCTGAAGAAAAGTCCAAAGAACTGAGTCTCTCTCTCTCTCTCTCTCTCTCTCTCTCTCTCTCTCTCTACCTACATGTATCTTCCACCAGCTATATCAGCACACCTTATCACTTATAACGCTAGAGTAGAGCGTTGATGGCCCACATCTACGAGTTTGATGGTTATCAATTTCCTTCCAAATGCCCTTGGTGATTGGCACAGGACTCGCGGTAGGAACGAAGCAGAGAGTCATACAAGCCTAACAGCCAAACTTCCTCGCCTTATAACAGGGCTGGGGAGAGAGAGAGGCGAGAGAAAACAACGGGAAGTGGTGTGCCTGAAGTCACCGCCTGCAGACCGCGATGGTCACCGCTGCAACCGCGCGGTCTTCAGCGCCACTTGTGTCGCTGCATGCGCTGTATTCTGCTGAGGAGGTCTGAGGTGTGAGTCACACGAGCCCTGGCGAGCCACTACCACTGGAATATCACTCACCACCTAGCCTGGGCAAGAGGGGGGGGGGGGCACGAGACCCAGGGCGAATGAGTCTGGTCCTACAATCACATGATTGCCGGGTCGACACAGCAGAACGACTCTCCTGCATCACGTGCGAGCTGAAGCGCACAGCATAAACATTTTTTGTCCTCTTTTTTTCACAGCAAACTGGAGACATTATAAATAATTATTATACATGCGGGTAGCAGATTTTTAAACGCCAATAGGGAACCGATAGAGGGCAGAGGCCGTGACACTTTCGACTAGCAGCGTACCTGCGTGGTGTTTATGACCCTTGCGCGAGCCTTGCCAGACGTGGATAGCTTACAAGTTGATATGGGCCACGCTCTTTGGATCGGAGGAACGACCGGTAGCCAGTTCAAACTCGTCAGCAACTGTTCTGCGTAAAAGAGCTATGCCGCAGTCTTAAAGTTCACACTCACGTTCCTCGATCACTTGAAAGCAGGTGAAAAGCTCACGGGGCGGTTGCGCCAAGAGCGGAAGAGTTCCAACCAGAGAAGCAGCTTGCGCACGGGTTTGCCAAACCTTGAAATCTGGCTCCTCATGGATGAGGTAAACTGAGTCGGTGTGGTGGTATTTATACCAGTGTGACAATTTGGTCTGCGAGAATCAGCCTGACCTTGCTTGCTGCTGACACTATGCCGCACCTGTTTGTGTTGGTATGCTTGTGGCTATCTGAATATAACCAGCGGGAAGACTCTTCACTTGCTCGTAGAGTCCTATGGCTTATCATTATGTCCAAGAGTGTCAGGCTATCCTACCTAGGCTACAGCTAGCACTACTACTTACTAGCAGGACAGGTGAAAGCTTGGGAAGGTTCTGCTGTGGGAATGTATTCAAGGTCTGTCGGCTTCATGCAGAGCACCAAGCTAGGCCAGCCAGTCTGGCTCTACGTAGACTACACACACATGCACACGCAAAGCATGTGAACGCGATCTCTACTCTAGTCTCGAAGGTGGTCCCAGTTCACAGTTGACCTTGCTCTGTGATTCCTGCGAGTGCACGCGTTGGCTGAAACCTTGATGGTGCTGCGTCCACGGTACGCGTAACGAGTTCGACTCTCTCCAATCTCCAATTGATTAACCATCAATCACTATTATCACGTCAAAATACCAACGCACAATGTGCAAGATACACTCTTCTCATGTATATTCTAGACTACTAAAAATGGGATGCGGAATAGCCAGGCATCATCATCGCCCGGATGGGTACGAGTCTGATCATTCTCCGGACTCCGAGACACTTCGGCGCGCGCTTCTCCTACACGCAGTACATGATGTACAATATCTACATTGCAGCGATCTCGAGAGGCATGCGGCGAGGATAAGCACCGCATGTAATAGCACACTCTGACAGGTCATGAGTAGAAGGATAAGGACTCTGCTTTACTACTAGTAGTACTAGTACTAGTGCCAAGAGCCAGCAGGGCCTAGGACTCCGTATATGGCCTAGACTACCTTCAGTGTTCAGTGACGGGGCATTGTTCCATGAGACTGCAGAGGGCACACTGTGAAGAAGCAGTAGCTAGTCCGGTCCAGGGCTGAGCTACAGACTACAGTACAGCGTTGCATCGCTACCAAGCCGTCGAAAGTGGCCTTTTCACATTTTTTTTATTTCAATCTGGTACGGAGCATCTCACAGCCCCATCTGCAATGTAGGACCATATAAAACGCCATCAATTAGAGGAGAAATTGTCAACGACAGCCGTGACTTGATTGGTCGCATGTTTTCAGGAGCTCATCACTTTCGACTGCCCTGCACGTGTTGCTCGTTATAGCAGTGAGCAGATTACAGCGTGTCCAATTATTTCGTACTACCATTTGCTCTACGATATCAATTATCAGTATTGCTCGGCTTCAGAAAGAACTCTGGTTACATCAAAACATGTACGCATGCCATACACGACCGAGGCTAACGTTGCTGGACAATATTTGTACATGTACAATGTAGCTGGACTTGTAAACATTGATTCTAACTGTTAAATAGTTTTGATTGTTTTCACGCCTCAAATCAGCTTTTTGTCCTCTTCGATTCCGCAATGGCGTTCGCGCTTTAGGCTATACATTTACATTTGTAGATAAAGAAGTGCATGCATGACGACAATGTTGATGATGCTGTATAAAATAAAATAAAAAAATTTCACGGTTCGCGTGAGACTCGGCTGGAAGCCCAGTTTTCCGCATCCGTCATGGGAGCGCCACCACCCTCTAGGATCAAAGGCGCAGATGCAGCGCCTAAACGGTGGGAGGTGAGTAGATCAGCCCCACCACCAAGTAGTCAAAGACCGAAATCCCATTAGCTGCATCCATGTTACCCTCGTGCCAGGCCACAAGTTCCCAAATAACTGTGGGTCTGTATAGAAAGAGCTAAATAATTCCAACGAAGTGCACGCAGAGGTCAACTGTCGCTCGTATTTTGTTCGTGGACGGCCATGGTCCTGTCTCCTCCCGACCCCAGCATCAGGCATGCACTGGCTGACATCAGATTCTGTGGAACAAAACATTAATTTTAGCAATTCCGTGCGATTTATGAATAGAAACACAACTTTATTTATGACCATAGTGCGCTTGTGATCAATGCTAGAAGGTATCAAACGATGATTGTTCCACCAGCAATCCAGTCCAGGCTAAACGCTTCGCCACGGGGTCAAAAAGTCTGACATTCCTGAACCTGTCTTGCCGGGTGACCTAACAGTTCGGATTCGGCGGCACCACGCGATAAAACCCGTCCAGACGCCCTGCAACGTTTCTCTCGCTCATCGCGTTGCCCTGGTGTTGTTCGCGAGTTCACCGACCAGTGTCAACGTGACTGGCCATGACTTGTTTTGATTCTCCTGTGCACGAGCGCTTAGTCAGGGTCTCGTCTTCTGGGAATCATGTCAGGGGCTGCACAAGACCTGGCACTGATTGCAGTCTGAGGAGAGAAGGCAGAAGGCGAGGTCCCTTGTTGCCCCACTGACGCTCCATTGACACAAGCTGCTAGCCTCATGGATTTGCTTCATCGAACAAGAAATCGACTGTGTACATTGTACATGCGGAGACACAGGAAAAGAAATAATTCGGAGAAGACACAGGCAGATCTTCCCAGGTGCGAGGTGACCCGCTTGCACAACCCACACACTGATTTTGTCGCGTCTGCCAAGTCACAAACGGAAACCGACTAGACTCCATCCAGGTTTCTCACCCGGATCGTATTCGCGCGTACTGGCGCTATCAGCTCTGTCTGTGCACTGCCCACTAACCTCCTTTCAGGCAATTCAGTAGGTTCAGGAGTGCATGTATTCTCGGTGCGTTATGGTGCGTATAACGGTCCTACTGTGATCTCGGTGACAAGGCATTTCTCTTTTTATTGGTCAAAACGGGTTTATTCCAGCAAGACGACATGGACAGAAGAAAGAACACCAAAGGTACAAGGGATGAAACTCGGCGATGAAATCAAAATGAAAGTTTGAAATAGTCTAATCCAAAGAAACTCTTGGCAGATTCGCTTTTTATTGTTAGGGGGCCTGGTGGTGACACACTGACAGTCAAGTTTTCTTCAGACTTTTCCCGTTTGCATCTTTCCATCAAACCAATGCAAACTACATTGTACATGTACTTGCACAATATACATGTACATTGGGTATCACGTTCCTCGGCTTTCGCCTTGGTGAGCACTCTCAGTAGGCTGCTCTAGTGCTGCTGCATCGCGCAATGCCCGCTACTTTTTGTAGTTTGAGCACTCTGGCGCTGGAGCGACGAGCTACCTTAATGTCTGTGGCGCCTCCTTTGCACCATGGCTGGTAGCTCGGCCTATTTAGCTCGTAGCTGTACTGATGAGGCCTTTATGGCCGAAACAGCTTGCTGTCTACAGCATTGGGTACATGTACATGTACATTTATAATTATATTTTCACGCTACATAGTATGGGATAAAACACTTGGGAATACCGGTAGGACAAACGTCAGGACCTCAGGACTTCTTTCTCCGAGGAGTGTTTTCAGGAGCCCAGGACTTCACTCTTTAGAACTTCTTTCTCCGCGGAAACGTTTCTTGGGATGACTACGAAGACTACTATTTGTGTTCCCCTGTGTACATGTACACTCATGACGTGTGCACTCATGTATATGTACATGCATGTACGTGTTTGCATTAGTTATTACAATATTAGTTACATGTACTTCCTCGGGCTGCAGCCTTCAGGAGAAGGTGGCACACATGCATCTACATGTGCATTGTAAAATGGCCGCGGTGACATACTCGTTTCCCCGCCGATCATTCCAATGTTCAGATTTTATTTTGCCAGATGTGATGACACGGTTACGACAGCATGCAGTGCGTGAAGAGATGGATCTCACGCAGTGCACTGTTGAGTGCATGTGTTCCATGCGCTGTAAAGAAAGGCTCTACCCTATTTCTACTGTTACACGGGGACATGGATGCAGGTAACGAGGTTCGCCCCCTTGTTGGGCATTGGTTGTGAGACATACCACCTCACCCTCGCCGTTAGGAGCTGCATCTGCCACCCTGGTGTCTCAGGCATGGTGGTGGCCTGGCACAAGCGAAACTTCCTAAGCTGGTTGTGTTTCCCAATACAACTGTATAGTCGGTGGTAACGCGGACGTGCAAACATTTTTTTACTTTTACACCGGGATTCCATGAACAGATATCTCTAGTCTAGGATGACTTCAGAAGCGGCCCAGGCGTAGAAAGAAAACTCTCCTTTACACCTCGATTCATCGCGGCATTGCGATAAGGTTCAAACAAGGACATGATTATGATTCGATTGCCGTCACCTTCAGTTACATGTACTTTCAACAATGTTATTCGCACTGCCAAGAAACGACGTTACGTAGGCTTTGCATGCACATGCATGGTTGCCCCAGAGAGCGTCATGCGCGCACACAGACATTACAATCGATAGTACGATCACGCGGTGACAAGAAAGGAACTCTCTGTGCAGCTGCATGCTGGCAGATGTGAAAGTGTGATGAATGACAAAGCAATCACATTCTTGTAGTGTTACTCCCATGGACCGTGTCCAAACCATTGTATTGTTGGTACGCTTTGGAGATACCCTAGCCTAGGTATTAAAAAGAGGTTTCGTAGCCAGGAGTCACGAAGAGCGTGTTCATCAATAAGATGTTGCTAGGCCTACGCCAATTCGTGAAATGTGACCTAACAAGCGTTCGTCAATGTTTTCGTCACGTTTTCGCCTCTTCTATCTTCTCACCAGACACTCCCTAGCGAACACCATCAGGCCTCAATCTCAAACGTTTTCCCTGAGAATCAGACGTCATTGGAACCACGTTGTTTTGAACTGGAGCTGAGCAGCATCGCCATCGATCTACATTGTAGGTCGCCTCTTCTGGCATGTTCTCCTGCCGTAGAGCACAGATGAAGTTTAAATGAGATACGCGCTGCAACCGCTGCGCGCCTGTCCCCTACAAAACACGCCGGCATAATGCCTAATGAGAAAGAGAAATGTTCACCCGCTCTCTCTCTTCACCATGGGGTGGATATCGGCAGC